AATTCCTCGTACCTGGGGTAACGATTATATCCTCACACTGGGGCGTCGTCACCGTTTACATCACTGCTGACGTCATGTGACGAGGAAAAAAGAAGCTTTAGTATTCTCGTGTTCACTTTCCTATTGCTTTTTTCCAGCCGACAGCCGATTACCATTTACGTCCCGGTTGGACGCATATTCGACCACAGACTCCAACACACTTGCGGGCTCCTCCGATCTGGGGTCAGTAAAACGCGAGGCCCTCCGCGACAACACATACATGAAGCACAAGGGACAAATAACCGTGCTCAAGGCGAGACTCGAAACCCCGAGCCTTTGGACCGAAGCGTGAGTCGGTATTACTCGCGCAACTTTTCTTGAACGATGCATTGAAGAAATGCAGGTAGAGTGGGGGTATTAGTTACGAAATCGGCCACTAGATTTTATGAAGCAATGCAAAACTCTGGAGAATCAGTCATGCCTTCGCAACTTTCTTAATAATTTGTGTTCTAACTTTCTCAGGTGTTCGAGGTATCTCCTGTAATAAATCTTTACCTGCTTCGGTCCTTTCTTTAGGATTTTGGACAAAATAAGCAATAGAAGTTCTCGTCTCAAAAGAAAATTGTTTCTATTTTGCGCCAGTGAAAATGTGTTTGGAATGTTGTCATCAGTGCTCCCTGCGAGCTTTTGCCTTCATCTGTTTATTGTGCTAGAGAGGGGGTCATCGTTCAAGAAACGTTGCGCGAGTAGTACACGCTCTAGCCACCACGGCCGGGTCGGCGAAGTGCGTTTCAGATCAGCCAACTTTTTGCTGCTCCGGGACACCACACGCTGCGGCAGCAGCAGCACTTTGGCTGCCGCGGGCCACAAAGAGAAAGCCGAGAGTCTTGGTACAAGTATTAGACGATGTGGCTGCTCTTCTGAGGCTTGGGACAATTCTGTCTCAATGACACCCATCTCGATCGGATTTTTCATCCTTGGGCGAATGCTGAGATGGCCCCCTTGTATTGCTTCTGGACATAAATGTTACTTCACTATCTGCACACGTCTTCTAGAGTTCAGTGGAAAAATATAGTTATTCAAATTATCGTTCTCCATGTTGCGGCAGAATTATATCATTTCACGAAGGATATGATGAGAGATAATAGCCCAAATCAACGTTGATTTGCCTTTGCGAATAGTTTTTATTGCAGGCGAACGAATATTTTCTTATCGGTTCTTGTTAAAAACCGCTTGCTTCCATCAGAAAATAGGTACATAGCAAAATTTGCGCAGTCAGACGGAAGAGCAGACACGGCCTAAGTCTCGCAATGTAAAATTAGGCATCAATTCAATTCATAAAGAATTCAACTTGTACAAGTACATGGGTACAAGGTAAAGATCCGAGAATTAAAGTAAACGTGCATATAAACATTTCTTCCCACATTATTCACACAGTTTCGAACTATTCTTTGACTAAGAAACAAACAAACAAATAAACAAACGAATAAATAAAAAAAACTCTCAGATCAAAGATTACACAAATAACCTTCAGAGCGTAAACGCACACATGGAGTACTCTAAGGGCAGAGAAGAAGATCCGAGAAGGCGGGGAGAGCAACCTTCGTGTGGAAGTTGAAGTGCACGTAACAAATGCATTGTATTTATGCATCTTTTATAACAATACTTTCACAATATTTTGCTCAATACGGAAATAAAATTACATTATTTCATAAACGTTTTAAGACCATGGTTTAAAATGAAACATACACATTTCCATTGTTATACGTTTACCCTACTAAATCTTAATCTTACGTAAGTATGTAGAAAATCTAACGCTTTAAAGCTTGGAGTTATTGAATGTTTGCAAGTACACGCAGCACAGAGAATAGTTCTCCAATGGCTTACTTACAATTAGGTTTGTTGATGGAAACATCCCGTCACACTTTTTCTGCAAAACATTCCGATTTAATTTTGTGGACTACCAACTTTTGAAATGAAAGCGTAGGCTTCCATGGTGGGAATCAGTGGGTGATATGAATAAAAATGAGCAAGTACTCCAGAGCAATTGCTCTCTCGTACAAGTAGGAACTACTACTCATAAGCAATTGCATCTTCACATATGGATAAAAAGTTTTGTAGAACTTGGAGCGTTTACTTCTCTCTATGAGTAATTGCTCACTAACTGGTCTGTTGCAACTGGTTGGTTTTCGTTTGTTTTGTTTGTCTACGTTACAGCATGTCGCTTGCTTGTTCCTGATGGTGTCGACCACGTTAGGTTAAGTGGTACAGTTGGCGAAATCGAAGGAAATCAAAGGAAATCTTCTATCATTCATTCAATCAATCATTACCTTTAACATACTCACTTCTTTCATTCATACTGTTTGAAGTAATTGCTTTGGAAACTCGAGAAAGAAATAACAGCGCATTTAATTCATATCACCCGAATCTACTTTGCTGCCCGGTAGATGTGCCTAGACGTGGCGTCTCCCAGTCACCCATGTACATATTACTCGCGCAACTTTTCTTGAACGATGCATTGAATAAATGCGGGTAGAGTGGGGGTATTAGATTCGAAATCTGCCACTAAATTTTTAGGAAGCAATGCCAATCTCCGGAGAATCAGTCAAGCCTTCGCAACTTTTTCAATAATTTGCGTTCTAACTTTCTCAGGAGTTGAAGATATCTCCTGTGATGGATATTCATTTGCCTGTCATTTCTTTACATTTTTGTGGATAAAATCATGGACAAAAGTTCAACAAAAAATAGTTTCTATTTTGCGGCAGTGAAGATGTGTTTGGAATGTTGTCATCAGTGCTCGTTGCGAGCTTTTGCCTTCAACTGTTTCTTGTGCCAGAGAGGGGCAAGCAAGGTCATCGCTCATGAAAAGTTGCGCGAGTATTACCAACGTTTGAACTGCCACAACGTGCATCGCCAAGGGCGGACATCCGCCTGGGCAAACTCAGCAGCTGGGAAGTGGGCCCAACCTCAGAGAGAGCCCTAGTAGTAATAAAATACAATTGGGGGCACCAATAAATTTAAAATAAATATTTATAAAGATGACAGGAAATATTAAATATTTTACAAGTAGTGTAGATTTTAAAATATTTAATTTCGCGGGGTACTAATTGTGAAGCAGCTAAAATTATAAAACAGAAATATATAACAAATAAGGGGTCATCCATAAATTACGTAACGCTAAAGGGGGAAGGGGGTTTAAGGCAGTTTTTCGCTGGGTTATATGGTGGTAGAGGGGTATTTGTTTATTGTTACGTGCCATTGATATTTTTAAAATTTTCAACATTTGCTGAAATAATTTCTTTTTTGGGACTTCTTCTAAAACAAAAATATTAACTAATTAATTTGTTTAAAAAGTAAATTAATGTTATTCGATGAAAACGGCGGCGTTCATAAATGTTACTACTCGCACGTTTCATTGATATCTCCTTTTGCAAGATGTGGTAGGAGTAAAGCTGGGGTTGTGGATTGCTATTTTGTTATCAATATTACTCCGAATATACGAATGTGTACGAAAAAGCAAAAAAAAAAAAAAGTAGTTCGTTTACCGATGAACATAAATAAGGGATAACACGGGAGCGAACATTTCTAGGTTTATACCAACAACCTCACTTTGTTGGTACTTTTTATTCATCATTCAGCTAATTATATTTAAAAGGTGGAAGAGATTCTGGAGCTCAAGAAAACGTGTGAAGATTACACACTTCTCACCCATAAGTTACATAGTTTTTCTTTGCTTTCACGAAAATACACCTAAAAAATGCGCATCTATTCATTGTTTTAAAATCCCGTCGCCAGGTAATTTGTTCAAGCTCCGCGCGAACAAACAAAAATCAGGATACTGTCGTGTGTCAATCTTTGCAGGGAAAGTTTGGTTATTGTTATGCCGACCTTCTGTTGATCTAAAAGATAGCGCTCTCGAACCCCAGTACTATTAAGGTTTGCGTAAGTTCACTTAATGCAAAGCTCGGGCAACACAGTGCACACCAATATACAACATACAAGCTCTAAAGCTCTCCGCTGGTTATGAAACACCAAAGAGGTCGCTTCTTCTGCCTTGTTTATACCATTCCGTTACTTCGAAATCTCGAGCGAAATATTGTGCAGAATACTATTTGAAGTTTTAAGTTGCTTCCGGGGTCAATCAACATTGCGAATGTCGACTGGGTAAATGATACTTAACTAAGGCGACCAATAGTCCTCCTTCAGGGAGGACAGTCCTCGCTTTGTAGGTTCTGTCCGAAAAGTATCCTCCTTTTCAATATTTTAAAACTAATATATTAATCTCTGTATTCAGAGATGCCATGCCGAAATGTTACGCATTTTGTGACTGTACAGTTCGGAAAGATGCGATTAGTGTTGCTAGATCAGCGAAATTTTCGCCGTTTTCAGTAGTTTCAGCTTCAGTATTTCAGATTTTTGGACATGCGAGAAATCAATATTGAATGTTAATACTCTAACTGCAGCACTTTCCGTAAAATTCAAAATGAAGGATATTTCTTGTTCTGAAATGTTCAATATATTATTAGAAAATGATATATTGTTAAAATATATTAATTCAATGGGAAAATGGCCGTTTAATTAAATAATTAAAGGGAACATAACCATAACCAGTGTTTTTTTGTTTGAATCAATAACATGTTTAATTTATAAACGTTGTACTTTTTTCTTAAAATTTTTCGTCCTCGTTTTCATTGTGAAAAAATTGGTCACCTTAACTTAACGAAAGATCACTCAGACGACCTCTCAAAAGTTTAAAACCAACTACATACGAACGAAACAAAAGAGGCTTATAAAAGTAATAGGAGTGGATAAATAATTAAAAATGATGTACAAATTAAAATATTTTTTGGCGCCTTGGCCATGCTTCTCAAAACTAGTTTGACTACTGTGTATGTTGCAATGATTGTTGTTACCTACCAGATGCTTATTATGTGTTCTCCTTTGCAGGGATGAGCCTGGATGACGAGTGGTACAACAAGAATTTATCAGCCCTCCGAATGAATACAAGCCATCATCCGAACCTCGCTGCACCGATGCTGCAATACCAGACGTAATGTAGTTCCCTGCGCGGCCACCGCGGCGCTAGCGTCCAGTCGATTGTCATCTCGCACGAGAGTGACATCTCCAGCTTCGGCTCGGGTCGGCTGAAGTCGGAAGACAAAGGAGGTTTTGGGCGCCGAAACGGTTGTTTTCCATTGGAAGAGTTTTACTCCACATTGATAAAATGACAACTCACAACAAAATGTTTCGGTTGTTTCTTAACTAAGATTTCATTTTAAGAAAGACAATTTATGTGTAATATATTCTAATACTACATTATATTCGTATTATTTAGCGGCGATGATAACATGTCAGATGATACATGCAACAATAAGTACAACCGACTTTCTGGTGTTTCCGCGGTTCATATCAAGTGACAGGTAGTCAGGATATGCCCTAACACCGTTTTGTTCTTTCTTTTAAATGTGGGAGATGTTTCTAGTATTGTGGAAGTTTGAGATTGAATTTTTGTGCATAATCAAATACACAGGCAAATATTCATTCTTTGAATATTTCAATTGCAATGTATGACAATTTTGTATAATTCAAATCAAGGTGGTTGGCGATTTATACCATTAATACTAGATCTGCAGTGTACTTCATTAACATTGCAAATTGTTAAGGACAAACCAAATCATTCTTTGCACTTAAATTAGTGCAATACATTAATTTCTTGACATGTAAAGTCAAGTGTAATGTAAGCATATTTTTTTATGCATGTAAAGCATAAAAGTATGACAAATTAGATAAATCTAGCAATTTTTAATGTTGGAAGAAATGCTGCTCTGTGATTTAAAGGCTCATGATGCCTGAAATGAGGATACACATCAACAGTAATGCAATTCAATTGAGCTTAATTACTGAAGATAAAGCATGAAGCATAATTTACAGTATTCTAACATACAACAATACTGATTTTTATTTTAAAAGTAATAATTGATTCCTCAATGTATTTGAGTAAAGTGAAATACTTGATGGTGAGCTATAAATGAATTGGTGCCCTATTCAAACCAAGATGTTTATAGGTTGGCATTTTTCATATTGCTGTTTTTCATTTCATGATAATGAAAACTCAGGGGGCAAAGAACCAAACTGCTGAAGGAATAATGTCAACTGAGTAACATATGAACTAGTTGCAGTGATGTAACTATGAAAATTAAAATTCAGTGTGTAAGTTTTCTTTAAGTACTACATTTTCCTGTAGTTCATAAGCAATTTTGTAAGGGACAGCAGTTTTCTTAATGTTCTTCCCTTTTGTCAAATTTGTCTTGCTACTTATACACATAAGAAGTAGATAATATATGCATTCAAGATGCAGAATAATAACTTTATGAATTAAAAAGCTCGTAAGTGGATAGTTAATGTTATAAGTTGTTTATTTAATCACAATGTTACTGTAACTTTTCAAACTTCAATAATTTTATAACGGAAAGTAGGAAAAGTTGTGTGTTGCAAAATCCTACGGTACATATACCATGAATCAAATACAAGTTTCCCATTGGGTTGAGAAATTGTATGAACATTTATAAATGAATTGACCAATAGCAGAGATAAATGAAATCTTCTGAAAAAGAAGAAAATGATTGTAGAAATCTTGGAAACAGGAGCTTAAGAATTGGTTTCAGTTCCATAATAAAGAAGAAATTCTCAATGGTATGCAAAGATATTGGTGGTGTCAAAGAACAAAATCTTTGACTAGTTCTGTATCATCTGATCTGTGATCATTAGTAATGTTGGTCATACTTCATTGCATTTTCAAACATTAGTTCCCTCATACTCTAGATCAAAGATGTACAGATTGGGCTAATTTTTCAAGTGATGACAATTAAATATTTTATGAATGTTTATTTTATACATTCTTTAATTCATGTTATTTGAGATATTTTATTGAAATTTACTTTCAAAAAATACTTAATTTCTAATTGAAAGTATTATTAATTGTCAGGTGTTATACACGTATTTGTATTTTTTATTGCAATTTCTACAATCCTTCATAGTTATTTAAAGAAAAACATATCAAATTTTTAAAACTTTTTTTGTTAGATTATATTATGTATTATATATCTTTTACAAATATACATATAAGACATTTTTTACAAAATCTTAGCCCTTTCTTGTGCAAATTACAGTTCATCACATTTTCTGAATGGCAGTACTTTATTCACAACAGTACTACTTTATTATACTAATTATTAAGATACTATGAGTATAAGCTAGAATTTGTCTGGACTAGATAGAGACAGTAAACAACCACAGGCTCTGTTATCTCGTTAATTCCAATTCCCTCATATTTCTCAAAATGGAAATAACAAGGTGTGCTTGATGTAGCCTGAGCAAAATTTTGTGTCTGGTTGTAGCATTATAACCCGCGTAAATCAATTTTGGAAAGGCAGTGTTCCTATTGCACAGCTAATGCACGAGTTCAGTTTCTAATCTGTTTTCAATTAGCTCACAATTCCATTGATCAGAAAGTGAGCTATTTTGTAAGAAAGATTAAAGACTGGTTTATTTAAAATTTCAATAAGAAATCATAGATTCAACTTATAGTGGTGTTTGAGCCCAAAATAAAGTATAAATGAAATTTTTTAAACCAGCTGGAAAGGCTTTGATAGTTAGGGAAGAGTTATATTAAACTCGTAATTGAAACAAATATCTTTGAAATGCTACTGGCCTAAAAATATATAGCACAAATAAGATGGCTCATGCAGGGAAGTTGTGACAGCAAAGTTTGTGTCAAAAGCACACCTGGTTATTACAACTTTATCTTTCTCACTCTTTCTCGTCTGTGTCCTTTATTTTAGATCAATCAATATAACTAATATGGCTTCAATCAGCTCCTTCATGTGTATAAAGTATCATATTGGCTCGTAATGTGATGGTGTGTTTTAAGAATAAGTATCATTTGAAATACAAAAATCATAATTCGTGAATAGTGCTCTTAAGTGAAATGAGAAAGACAGACAATGTTTTCAGTTAAAACAAGTTCCCAAACATAACTCTTAAGATATTCATATTTTCAATCATGTATTCGATTTCTTCTTTAACATATAAGAGAAATAATAACTTTGTTATATTCCCCTAGCTGTTTGTATGAGTGTTCTGAATGTGCGATTAACAAAGTTCAATGTTTTTCAACACATTAATATACTAAAGGTGTAAACACATGATCATGGCACTTAGTCCTTAATAAAACATGTAAATAAAATTAACATATACACACAAATAGATAAGAGTAATTTTTTAATGAAGTATTCCAAAGTAATCTAGTCTCATACAATGTGTTCCTACTATGTTAAACTACTGTAATTTGGTGATGTATGTTATGGAAATAATTTCCGTATTGTTTTCCCTGATGCTTTTTTAAATGTATGTACTGTGTATAAAAATCTCTTTATTCTGTTTGTATTGATAATAAATGCAAGTTCATAACATCCCACAATCTTTATCAATGTGAATAGTCAGCTATATAGTTTGCATTTATATAAAAGTAATAAAACAAGACATGCACAATAGTAGAGCATGTTTTGAAAACATTGGTAAAAAGATGATAAAATATGTTGTTAATGTGTGCCCAGTGCTTACCAGATAAGTAAACTCTCAACAGATCACTGATTGAAATAACTAACATCTTCACTAAAAAGTTATGTTGAATTTCATTCACGTAACAATCGTAAATCAGCTTCAAAAAGACTTACTGAGTTGAATATTTACAACTATGTTCTGTTGTGTTCAATTACCTTCAGTAATATGAATATTTTAGCATTTTGTAAATCCTCAACCAATCTAAAAACATCCTTTACATTTCCATTATTTTATGTGAGTTTTGGTACAGGTTTTCTTCCCAAAATCGTCACCTTTTTATCATTTCGTATACCGTGCTTTATTTTAAGGACAAATGGCTGGAAATAATTAAAAGAATATTATTGAAATTGATAAATTCTGAAAGAACTAATCTTTTTCAAAGAGATTTATAAAATTCTATTGCAATCATATGCAGAGAAGATATGTAAATTGCAAAATTCATACATAAGTAACCCTTGCTTATGATGTGATCAGCTTCACAATTCTATTCAATTTCAAATGAAAAGTTGTCAAAACTGATGCTTTTGATAAATGTATTTGATGAAATAAACATAGTATCTTTATGAAAAAGATTATTACACTGGCATATCATTCAGAAACATATTAAACCATGCCCAGCACTGAACGACACTTCTATAATGAATATAGGTGTACAGTATTCTCTAGAGAAGCAAGATAAAATTCCACAAATTTTTTTCTTGCACTCATTCCTCTTATGTAGAATGATAAAAGACAGTAACTTTGATCAAGCAAAGAATTAAATGTTCTGTATATAAAGATGTAACAATAAGGTTTTTATTTCGTGTAATGTTTGTAATAATTTCTGTGCATATATTAAATAAATAAATACTCATAAATTAAGTTTCTTTTTCTTCATTGACAATAAACCTCTATCTTCAAGATTTGTTTGTATTTAATGATTATGTATTACTATTTCAAATGTTTTCATTTGAAATGTAATAAAAAGTTCATCAAAAAAATGTATGATCATTTAAAAACAAGGCTCTTAAAGCAGGAAAAATTGTAATTGAAATATAAAGTAAATGTTTAAAATTTAATAGTTGTAACCATATTATTGAAAACACAAGTTAGTGAATAGATAAATAACTACCTAATTTATATTATTTATCACAAATAAAGACCCTGGCAAGTAATTAAAAATTTCTTTATTAAATGAGAAAAATATTCACTTTTTCATAATGCATATTAACATAATTTCAGTTACAGAGAAACCCATTTCAAATTTTAATTTACAAGCAAATCACATACTCAGCTATATAAAAATTGAACACATCAAAAATATTTTGTACACAAAAACAAATACAGGACACAAAACTTCAAAGTGTAAACAAACTAAATAAACAATAAGAAAATGTTTTAAATTATCCTAAAAGATAGTAAATATTTATCATCCTTACAAAAATCTACACTAAATTATCTAAACTATAAATTACTTCTATTTATAATATAGTATTTAACATATTTCCCCTAAAATGCAAAAAAAGCAAAGACCATATCTCAG